CACTTTAAAATTCTAAATATTTTAAGAAGCATCTGTTACTAAACTGAGGCATCATTTTTGAAAGTACCCATATTTACTGAGTGGAAGTACACATATTTACTGAGTGCGTACCCATATTTAATGAGATGAACACAGTGACAAACTCTTGGACTAGAAGAATGCACATAAATAAAATCGTAAAAGCAATGTGATGTGATTGGATTAAAACTATAATGAACAGGCTGAACATTTAGTTCATGTGAATATTAACTGCTATGAAGGAAAAACTATAACCAAAGCAATAACCCCTGTCATTGTGCTCCAGCTTTTTACGTGTTGAAAGTTCCCTCTGATCTATTCTGAGAAGCTTTTTCCAAATTTTATTTACCTGAAAGCAGGTTAAATCAGTATGTTTCTTCTATTGTTTCAACAGGTGAGAGAGACAGGAGGTTTCTGGTCATCTTTGAATAATATAGATACTATTCCATTTCTATGCTATTCATACCCACTATCTCTTTTAAAAACTTATTTCGTACAACTTTTCAAGTCATATTTGAAATATGACTTTTTGAAAAAGCTGCATATTCATCTGCACTTTCCTTTGGTTAAAAGAAAAGCTGTACAGACAAGTTTGTACATAAATATGATGAGACTTGAAATGCTTATGTTTGGAGCTTTCTGTTTCAGAGCTTTTCAGAGAGATGCCTCTCAAAAAAACTTTTGTTTATGTGTAAAATTCAACAAGCTAGAGATGAAAGCTGATTTTAAAGAGATACAGTCTCCTAAGCTTTACAGCCTTGCTTCACAGAAAGCCTACCCAATGTATGGTTTCATGTCACCAGGGCTGGGATTCATCTGCCCTAAGTGAAAGTATCCAGTGTGCAGTTAGGTACTGCCCCATAACTAAGCTTATGCATTTAGCATAATGCAATTATGTTAGGCCAGATAACAAATTCCGGTGCAGCAGTGAGATGTACCCCAGATATCTAGACCTCCATCCTGAGGAGCACAGTTCTATTAAAAATCACCTGGACCACCTTGGTATTTTAAAGATGTACACAGGGAAAGCACAATTCGGCCATCTGCCTCTAGGACTTATGTGTGTTTGTCTTTCTGCATACAGAATATTGCTGTCAGAACAATCAGCTCACTTTTGAAAAAAGTAATGTAGACTTCCCTTGGCCTCCTGAGTTATGTACCACAAGGTCCAAGAAATACTAAGGATATTCAGCATACATAGGAAAAGAGTAAAAACTACTATCATAAGCAGAAGTACAGCCACATTAAATGATTTTGGAAGGAAGAAGAGGCCCCTGCATCTTTATAAAGAAGTAATGCAGGCCAAAGACCATGCCTTGATCACACACTGGAGCTTTAGGCCTAGCTTGAAATTGTCCTGCTGGACCAGCAGGAGAACAATCCCTTGGTGGGAGGGCATGGAGCAGTAGCACAACACTGCCAGTGAGCTGCTTTTCTGTTTCATCAGGGTGGTGTTAACGTACCCTCAGCTATGTGGGAACAGAGTCCCCGCCCTGGCAAGAAGCTTCCGGTATCTTCAATTCTGTCTTATGTGAGGGGAACCTCCGCCACCTCTGCTCCCCTGGCAATTGGGAGTTTGGGCAATAATAGAGTTGTGATAGCAGCCACCCCATCATTCCAGATCAAAGAGGCAGGAGAAGTTGCTGCTGGTCTAGTGCAGTGACCAGGCAGAGGCATGTGGGGAATCATCTGTCCTTAACACAGTGCTTGCTTGGAGGAGGATGAGTCAGCTGATGCCTGCTCCTAATTTTGAAGGAGCCTGATGGGGTAAGGTAATGCCATTTTGCAACCTGAGCGCAGTAGTGGTATTTGTTACCAGCTTTGGAAGAAAGCTTTCCCACCAGAGTTGACATAGGTGCAACATGGTATCCTTACTGAGTCTGCATCTCTCTGTGCAGGGTTTATTTATGTTTAAGAAGCTGAAAGATAAAAGATCCAAAGGATCAATCTCTGTGTGAAGGAGAAACAGTAAAAAGCGAAACAACTTTTATATTAGAAGTATGTAGCTGCTGAATCTAGTTTCACTGGTCATGTCTCACTGAAGACCCTAAAACAATAACAAACCTTAAAATCAATTAATATTAGAAATCCTTAGAGATGAATTGTTTGAAGTTTTCATTGCTAGAAATTAATAATTTCTGTGACTCTAGAGAACCTAAAATAATCTAAAAGGTAGACAGGCCAGAACATAGAATCAACCCCTGTTAATATCACTAGATACTTCCTGACCCACTGATACTGTCTTCTGGAGAGTATCATTGAGATAAAAGCAACGGCCAGCTTATTGATGACCTTGGCTTGTATCGTTTACAAAGAAGAGGAGAAAAGCATATTTTTCCTGGCTGCAATAATATAGAAGGGCAAGCATCCAAAACAAGAAGAGCTAATTAGGCAAGAAAGCAGCATTGAATATAAATTGACCAGGACCGTATGCAGCCTAGAAATGAATAATTGTCTTGAAAACCGCATCTACTCAAATGTGTGACTTTTTAAATAATACATGTCTTCATGAATGAATTAACAGATTTTTGAAGAGAAAGAATATTTGATTTTCTTGACATGTTAAGTCAATGAGTAGAGAAAGTTGGAAAATTTGACAGAAAGCTGTGGGGACGACAGGGTACGGGGTTTTATTTTTCCCCTGACTACAAAGCAGTTTGGGGTGGAAAGTGACAGACGTGCCTCCACTCTGGGGGAAGCTGAGTGTAGCATTCAAGAGACCAGTCTTAACAGACAGTTGTGAGCTGGGGTGAGAGTCACAGATGGGGACATAGGTACAGCACTGCGTGTCATTATGCCCGGTCTCGCCATGACTCCTCTTCAAAGGTTCAACTGCTCTGGAGGCTTGAAAGCAATGTATTTTGCCAAAGCACTAATTTATACTTTTGCTATTCATTTGTAGCCCTACTGTGATAGCACACTGGAACTAAACAATACCCCTTGTAGAGAAATATTTAATGCATTACTTACAGGCAGGAGATCTTTATCATTTTATTTGACATTGCCATTGAGGGATGTAATCATATTGCCTAACATTAGGCATCTAATATTAGTTTCCGATATCAGAAGCTCCTTTGGAAAATGAGTCAGAGCACTTAAATTAGTTCCGATTTGCCTTCTAGAAGGACCTCTGTCACCACATTGACTGTAGGGAGGTTTAAAACAACTTCCTCACTGTGACACCCAAATGCCAAGTTAGGGAAACACGTATTCCTGCTTGAGCTTTCATAGCTTTGATACTATATGGAAATTTGCAGGTTTTGACACATGACTGATCTATCATAAGCAGAGGTCAGAAGGCTTAAATTAGCCTTTCAAGGTTGCTCTAGAAAATTTACCAATCCAAAATCTATTTGCCTGTTTTTTGGCACAGTAAGAATTCTAAAAAAAGTCACCTTGTAGGTAACACTTGAGCATATGATTAGAAAAGAAATCTAAGGCCATCAATTCCTGTCACCTCTAATCCCAAGAAATCATTATAGCCTCTCCTAAGTGTCCCAGGGTCCATCTTCAACACAAGTCAAACTTTCTGGCTCACATCTGAAAGCCAATTTTAGAAGCTTTCGAATTTTCAGCCTATATTGATAGGTAATTAACTTACATTCCTTTGTCCTCTTTCATCACTGATTTGTAGCTTCAATAGTTCTCTTCCAGCTGTTTATCCCTCTAGTCCACTTACAGACAGTGAAAGTGCTCTTTTTTTTTTTTTTTTGCCACCAAACTGACAAGCTGTTACAATTCAACTTGTTCTGATACATGCAAACATAAGCTATGCATGCTGATTTTTGAGGCAGTCAAATATAGAACTACCTAATTGTGGAAGGTAAGTTGGAGAGGACACTGCAGGCAATACTATCAGCTGAGGTGCAGCAACATGCCAATATGGCTCAGACAGCCAGCTCAGAGCTTAGGTAAATTTCACTTCGATTTTCCACACCTCTCCATAGATGCAAGTGCTAGAAGTTGTTCCAATTGATGGAGAAAGGGGAGACACCAAAAGGGGTAGTTTTGCATAGATTTCGATAAGCCTAAGTAAATCAAGAAGCTGCAACCTCTAGGCTGATTAACTTAAATGGAAGCATCTTAATACGGTTATTTTTATCACAATTTAAGTGTCAGACAGGGTACATTGGTTTAAGCGTATTTTAACTGCTTTACATTTGCATATTTTTCATCAAATACAGATCTCTGAAGGTTTCAATCATTAAGACAATGCTCAATCCTTGTTATTTACAGAATTTATTACTGGTACTTTTGTAACTTTTTGATTTTTACTAGTTTTCATACAGAAAACTTAAATTTTCTCGAGCATTTAAAGCAAAGGCAGGCAGTAGGCATATTTATTTGAATGCAGCCATTGTCTGATCCTATCCAAGGTACTGTCATTACTTTTTCCATTCCCATTGTACATTCTAATTCAACTTCAAAAAGAATATTTAGTTTAACCTCTGCTTGAAGAAATGAAATGGAGATCACCTTGATATCAAAACAAAGGAGGTCATATTCAAACAGACTTCAATGGCATCTGCCTGGAAGTTTAAAGTACTCAAGTGGCAGGTGCTGGATAATGAGCACAGAAACAAAGCACCGCAACTTCTCTGGGGAGTCTGTTAATTTCCTCCTTAATTAATCTGTTTACCAAATAGCATGAGTTAATTGCAAACCGTTCTAAAATCATTACCAAACTGCTGACTTCTGTAAGCATGTAATTTTTCCCAGTTACCTCTGCCTCTCCTCTCCTCCACGCACATCCCCGTAATTTGGGGAAATCTATCAGGCAGAGCACGGAGCCACGCTCCCATCTTGGTGGCTTTTGTTCGATGTTACCGAGAGTGGGTCTCTTCTGCGTTTAGATGGTCAGAAACTTTTGCTCGAAATGCTAAAACAGAAGGAGTCACCCTCTGTACAGAGCATTTGAAGGGCGAGTGTAAAAGCAACCTGGTGCGTTAACTGCTTCCCTCTTCTTTTACCGCCTTTCACAGGCTGCTGAACGCCTCGCTGAGGTGTTCCTCACCGAGGGCGGGCACGCTGTCGACGGCGGCCCGCTACCGAGGCCGGCCCCGGGACAGGCCTTGACAGCCACCGGGGCCCCGGCACCCCTCACCGCCCCGGGTCGGGGGGGCGGGCAGGGGAAGGGAGCACCTTACCGCCCCGGGGGGAAGGAAGCGGGGGAGCACCGCAGCGCCCGTGAGGCAGGGGACAGGGCCGCCGGCGGC